GCGACTAGCACCTCATCCTCGTCCTCAACGGACTCTGGTTGAAAGTTTAGATATTGGCTCACATAGGGATGGATGCGCAAGACATACCGTCGAGGAAGGGAATCAATTCCTCACGCGTGCGCTCGGCGCCTAGGGCGAGGGCGATGGTGGAGAGGCGGTGAATGGCATTGAGACGCAGGAGGACATCGTCGTGCTGGATCGCGAAAGGGTTAGCAATGTGTTGTGCGCTGGCGGCTGAAGGCTGACGTCGGGGTTGGGCTAGACAGGCAGAGTCACCGCCATACCTTTAGCTCGTCGATGAGGACGGCGATGGGGTAGAGCTCGTCCTGGGTATTCGGCGCGTCTGCCATGGCGAGCGAGGTTGCGCAGGCGCGTTTATCGATGGGAGGGTCGGATGATGTTCAGGAGAGTCGACGTCGTGGTTGTGAGCGATCGAAGTGGATCGCGTGCGGGTGATGCAATGGGTTGGTTGAGGGCGAGCGGCGGTCGTTGTGGGATTGGGGGGGCTCTAAAATCTGAGACGACGCAACCAGGATAGTGGTATGGCAGATATTATCAGGAGGTTGCGAGCATGCAGACCATGCCAACGATCCGACGTCAGGTTGGCGAAAGGCACAGCTAGTTGTCGTGGTGAAGTTCGTGTGGCAGTGGTGGAGGAGAGCGTGGCCGGGTGTTGATTTGAGATAGATAGTGGAAGCACGAGGCATGGGAAGGGAAGTTTGACGTGCTGTTTCTGAGGTTCGTCTTTCGCTTCTGCTCCAGGTGCTGTCCCACCCGACCAGAAATGGGCTACCTTACCGCACCTAAATTATCAGCTGCGGTGGCCACCTTAGTCGTTCGGTGATGGGCAACAGCATTTCTAGGCGCCTACGAGAGCCTGTATCTGTGACCGCCTTGGGCAAGGTCTGACAGAGGGAAGGTACGTACCCGTAACTTCTTGGTGGTGGATGTCGTAAGGCAGGGGTGCAGGAGCCAGGAGGAGGTGCTCTTTCCTTTCTTCTGGTGAGGGGCTGCTGCTTGTCGTTTGCTGCCGCATCTTCGTAGCAGCTGAAAAGCGGACTTGCAGCACAGGTTCGGTACTAACTGACGTATCGCTCCTCCAACGTCCTCACGTTCCTTGGAATTTTCTATGCCCTCTATAGCTAACACAATAAGCACCATCGGTAGCACTCTTCTAACTACCTTGTGCTTGAGACATGCCAACTTTCAAGTCCAGCTTCATACCTTCTTGGCCTGGTGAGATGTCTCCCAGGTGACCGGCCGAGGAGGGGTCATCAGCCTGCAGCTAAGCTACCTGATCATAGGTAGGTACTTTGTATGCACTACCTTCATGGAGGGGAGGGGTTATGGGACAGCTACATCATATTTAACGTTGTCCCGAGTCTGGGTATTCGGAAACGCATGATTGTGATTGAGGCAATGAATCGGAATCCAGCATTTTCTGCTCCGCGCGCATTTTGGCCAGCACCTAGGTAAGGTGGTGAAATACCTTACCATACCTTTAGTCACCGCCGTGGGTAGCTACGAGCTGTCAGTGAGGCATCTGCCAAACTTTCCCGTTACCAGCAAACAGCTCAGGTGTCCCTCCCACCTTCCACCAGCGGCGAAACATGTCGTGGCTGGAATATGCGCACGGCTGTGTGCACTGGCCGCCAGCTGTCGATGGGCCTGCACCGAAGAGGAATATGGTGATTTATGGCTTCCATTTCTCCTGCCTGCGCTGGGTTGCGTTGTGCTGCGCTGCAACCCGTCCCGGTGTCGGTTGACACGGACCACTCTCTGACATCGGACCCTGGAAAATTGAGATGCCGAGTGCGACCGCTGCTTTTGCTGCCCCTCAACCCCGCAGCCCCTCCAATGGCTGCGATAAAGTCGAAATGACTCCCACTGACCTCTTAAAGCAGCAACTTCATCCCGCCCCGGCGAACCTTCCATGCGTGCATGCAGTTGCTTCACCTCCGAGTATCCCCAAAATTTCTGTGACTCAAGGCCATATTGGAGACGGAAATTGACCATTGCTTGAATCCTCTCCTGCCCCTGACGCCAGACAGACCTCTGCACCCTCGAGAGACTCTCGCCAATTCTCACCATGCCTACCATATCCGTCAACAAGTACGATCTGTACAAGGCCCTAGGCCAAAAGTGAGTTGCGCCGTGCTGGCACCGTCCGCCCCGATCTAGACATCTTGACCCCGCCATCCCTATACTGCCTCTTGCTGATCGTCGCCCGCACAGCTTCACCACCCAAGAGTTCGAAGACCTGTGCTTCGAATTCGGTATCGAGCTCGACGAGGACACCGAGAATGACGACCGACCGATTGTCAATGGCGTGCAGGAGCCGCCCCAGCTGAAGATCGAGATCCCCGCCAACCGATACGACATGCTGTGCTTCGAGGGTATCGCGCTCATGCTCAACATCTTCAGAGAGAAGGTTGCCGCACCCAACTACAAGGTCGTAGAACCCAAGAACCCTGAAGCCTCCGTTATTACCGTCGCCCAGGACACCAGCAAAATCCGACCCCTCGTTGCTGGTGCCATTCTCAGAAACATCAAGTTCACCCAAGAGAGCTACGACTCCTTCATCGGCCTCCAGGATAAGCTGCACATGAACTTGGCGAGACAAAGAACATTGGTGGCCATCGGAACCCACGACCTCGATACGATAGAAGGCCCCTTCACATACGAGGCCCTGCCGGCCAAGGACATCAAGTTCAAGCCCCTGAACCAGACCAAGGAGATGGACGGCGAGGAGCTGATGCAGTTCTACGAGAGTGACAAGCATCTCGGCAGGTACCTGCACATTATCAAGGACTCTCCCGTCTACCCCGTCATCTACGACAAGAACCGGACTGTCTGCTCGCTGCCGCCCATCATCAACGGCGACCACTCTAAGATCACCGTCAACACCAAGAACGTCTTCATCGAGATGACAGCAACGGACGCCACCAAGCTCGATATTGTCTGCGACATGATGGTCACAATGTTCTCGCAGTACTGCTCCGAGCCCTTCACCGTTGAGCCCGTCAAGATCGTTTCCGAGCACAACGGCGCATCAAGAACGACACCAACCCTCGCCCCCCGCACGATCGATGTTGAGATTGACTACCTCAACGCTTGCACTGGCCTTAGCGAAACACCCGAGAAGATGTGCCAGCTCCTGAACAAGATGGCGTACATCGCCAAGCCCTCCGACAAGGACAGCAACCTTCTCAGCGTGTCAATCCCTGTCACCCGTGCCGATGTGCTCCACCAATGCGACGTCATGGAGGACCTGGCTATCTGCTACGGCTACAACAACCTCCCTAGGTCTTCTCCCAACAAGAGCGCTACCATTGGAGCGCCTCTCATGATCAATAAGCTCGCTGATATTGTGCGGACAGAGGCCGCCATGTCTGGCTGGAGCGAAGTAATGCCTCTGATTCTGTGCAGCCACGACGAGAACTTCGGCTGGCTGAACCGCAAGGATGACGGCAAGACTGCTGTCAAGCTTGCCAACCCCAAGACTGCCGAGTACCAGGTTGTGCGGACATCCCTGGTCCCTGGTCTTCTCAAGACCATCCGCGAGAACAAGAAGCACAGCGTCCCCATCAAGATCTTTGAGTCAGCTGACGTCGTCTTCAAGGACGAGTCTCTGGAGCGCAAGGCTCGCAATGAGCGTCACTTCGCTGCTGCCTGGTATGGTAAGACCAGTGGTTTCGAGGTTGTCCACGGTCTTCTGGACCGTGTCCTCTTGATGCTCCGTACAGCTTTCCTCACTCATGACGAGGGACTGAAGGCAGGCAAGAGCGTTGACTTCAAGGTCGTTGAGAACCCCAGCAAGCCTGACGGCTACTGGATCGAGGAGATTGACGAGGCCACTTTCTTCGCTGGCCACGCGGCTGCCATCTACCTGCGTCTGGGTGGCAAGGAGGCGCGCATCGGCGAGTTCGGCATCTTGCACCCTACTGTGTTGGAGAAGTTTGACTTGAGGTAATATTAAACAGCCCCCCTCCCTCTTTCCCTCTCTAATTACGGTAAATGACCATTGGATGCTAACGTTGACGACAGATACCCTGTGAGCACCCTCGAGATCAACCTCGAGGTCTTCTTGTAGTTGATGAAGCATGATGGGATACGGACATGAGGAATGGCTTCGGATAGTTTTCTAAAAACGTAAAAAAAGGCTTTGCTAGACGTAAGGCGGTCGGATATAGACTTTGTTCTTTACACTAGGCGAGCTAGATGAGGCAACGGGCACCCAAGAATAACAAAAAAAGATCAAACAAAAAGAGAAACCCGTCGTGACCTACCTACTGAGTGCCGAGGGTAGGTTTCTTACAAGCCATGATAGTTTGATATGCCGCACGCGCCTGGCGACCGCTGCATGTTATCGCGCACATCGTTATGGGAGCAACGGTTAACTTCAGACTGATTAGAATTATGGAATCGAGAGTACACAGGAGTTCGAAAATCCAAGTGGATCTATACGACGGACCCCCAAGCCTCTCCGCCTCTCCACCTCTCTCCCATCTCTCGTCTCTCGTTTTCTGTCTTGCTCTCGTGTCTCCCTGTGCGTATGTCCATTCACGCAAACTTTTCTCTTGCCCCCCCTGCCCTTCCAAACCGCGTTGCTGCTGTATGAACGAATCCGTTTCATCCCCTGATCCCGTTTTGAACCCTGCCTTTACCAGTCTTGAACGCAATCATACCTCTTGGACGCCGGAAAACAGAGCAAGGGGAAAAAGAAGTGCTGTGTATCCAGCACGACGAACGTCGAGAGAAAAAGGGGCGAATGCGTCAAAAAAAGAAAAAAAAGGAAGAAAAAAGTCGTAATACTTGTACAAAACTCCGGCTCGCTGTCATGAAAAGCCGTAAATCAGTTCGTCCCCTCCAAGGCAAACGTGTTGGAATTGCGTTCGCTGAGAGACCCCATTTCTTTCGTGCCCTTCATAGTTGTGCGGTGAAAATGCAGCAAGTACATGCTAAACTCCTGAAATGTTGAACTAGGAAGTCTTCTGCGGCTAGTGGTTGGGAGTCACAGATCCGCCGTTCTCGGCAGACACGGCCTCCGTGCTCGTGTTCACCAAAATGAAGTTGCCAACATCGGCAACATCCCCTGTCGAGACACTATCGAGAGAATGAACCGAGGACGCGTCGGAACCGGCGTCAATGTCGGTTGACGCATCTCCAGTGACACAGACGCCATCGTCATCATCATCATCGCGGGCGATATTGTCAGCGCAAGTATCTCCATGAGGAGTGTCCTCGGCCAAGCCATCGGTCAAGTTTGACCAGTCGTTGCTCAAGTTGGCGACGTTGGCGACGGCTTTAGTACCCCATTCCCAGATTGTTGAATCGCCCCAGTTGCTCAACGTATACGTTGAGTCAGCCCAATTCTCCTGGTAGAAGAGCTCGGCGTCGAGTTTCATTGTAGCACTAGTCACCTCGACGGTATACGGCGCGTCGTGCATTCGTTCGAACATGACGCCCTATGTCATCTCCCGGAGCTCTTGCTCGCTGCGACTTGTAACCCTCGAAGTGGAAGCAGGACTGGCGTTACGTCCGGCCAGATTGTTCAGCATTCCGCTGACGTTTTTGCCAATGTTCAAGCCAGCGATTCCATCTCTTACTGCACTGAAGGCATTGGAGTTCTCGGCCGACACACTTCGACGGAGAACCGGGGCCTGTCGCTCTTGATAATTGGGCGTCAAAGTAGTGTGCGTGTTCTCTACACCTCCCAGAACCGACTGGCTGGTAGGGAGAGAAGGCGGCTTGGGGCTTGCGGTGGATTGGGGCGGGGTACCAGGCTGGCTATTCGCGTAAGAATCCTCCGTAGTTGGGTGCAGTTCGTTCATGGCTGTAGCTCTGTTGGCTGCAGCGGTCGCTACGGCGTTGAGGTGCGAATTCATCTCCTCGTCGGTCCGATTGAAGAGTTGGTGCCACCAGCGGATGTTGGTCATATCTGGCACTATGATACGGCTGCGGCCCTTAACATACTCATCGAAGGTCGGATCATAGTCCTTGTTGGTGAACTCTGGCTTGCGGGACAAGAAGTAGTCCCAGACCGAAGAAGTGCGCTCAGAGGCACGAGCCTCGTGTCTCTGTTTCTCGGAGTTGTAGAGGAAGGTGCCATATTGACAGGAGTAAAGATGATAGATCAGTCGACGAAGGAATCTCTCATTGAACTCAAACTTGGTCGGGTTCTGGCGGAGAAGCTGATAGACGCAGTCCACAAATTGGTGGAACACAGGGCTGACCATCTTAGGAACAGTAGCCTCGTCTTTTGCGACTTTTCCGGTAGAGCCTTCGGTAATGGCATCGAGTTCAGCCTTGTCCTCCTTGCTGGGATTGAACAGCTGCCTGGCACCAGTGAAGACATTCTGGAAGGCATCTGCGCGGCCGTCATTCTCTCCAGGCTGGATGGTTGAGCCTGCCATCGAGTCGTTCTGGACCTTGAAGTTGTCCTCGTGGTTCAAGTGGCCACATCGAAGCCTAAACATATGGCCAAAGGCAAGCCAGTCCTTCTCGACAAGAACAATGAACCCTTCGATAGTTCGGAAGAAAGGGTCCAGCATGATCTGTGCAAGAGCACTAAGCTGACTGGTTCGGTCCCAGCCATCGGAGCAGTGAATGAGGACGTGCGACTGCTTCAACCATACTTGCTTGGCGACAATATCGGCTCCATTCAAAACAGCTTGCGTGTGTTTCAGCCAGTTGGTGGCAGCCAAGGCGTTCTGGTCAGGAGACAAAGGAGACAGGTCGGCATCCTTGAGACAAAGCATAACACTCTCCAACGACTTCCTCATCACATGGATGTTCTCAATGTTCATGAAGGCTTTCTTGGCACCTGGGTAGCGGTCCATGGGCTCTGAGCCCATTCCTCCAATCTGATTGACCATGGCATTCACAGTAGGTCTGGCGTCGACAATCATGTTGGCTTGTTGGGCACCATAGATGAGGCGTTTGCCGTTTTCATCAAACATCTTGGGTTCATCGTCTGCGACAATCTGCTCAGAGAGCTCTCCATCTGTAGACGACTTTTCAGAGATATCTGACTGGCTCAGGCGAGGAGGCTGGTCTTGATCAATGCTGCTTCGGGGCATGATAGGCGCAAATGAAGCCAAGACCAGCTTCTCGTCCTGCACATTGTTCTTCCTGGTAATGCCTGAAAGAGGTTGCGAGCTGCGGGTAATAGTGCAGTTGTTGTCTGCGTGGATGTAACTCAGGGCGGGAATTCTGTGTCTGGAACGATACTCCTTGGCGTATTTCAAAACGTTGTCTGAGATGCAAGAGGGAACCACCAGAACGGCGGGATAAGTGTCGCAGAAAGTATAGTCCTTGTTGATGTTTGTGATTCTCCATCCTTTGTCTGACGACTTTTCGCTAATGCCCTGGCGCCGGAACTCGGCTTTGGGGTCGTAGATGCTCCAGCCATTGATCTGTCGCTCGGCCTTGGAGGGCTTGTGACTGAAAGCAAAGAGCCTCTCGATGGTGCCTAGTTTGCAAGTTCTGAGCTTCACAAACTCAAAGACGTCTCGAGCAACGTTATTGTCCTCAAAGTTGAAAGTGACAAAGATGAAGTCGCGACAGCGGATGCGGATAGAGCTGTGAATGCCATGAGTAGGAGGCATGAGTCGGAGTATGCACTGCGATAGAATAGGATAGGTGATCCATGATTCTCGAGGTTTCGGGGGAGGTTTATCGGCTTGGTCGGCGGTTTGGTTCTTGGGAGGTGGTGGCGGTGCGCAGAAGACAAGGTGGAAATCGGTCAAGCGCAAGGTACCGACCGAGGTGAGTCCTCCGTTGATGCACTGGACGTTTTCGACTACCTGTATTTTTGCAATCACGACATGGTCAGTTTTTTCCGTTTCATGCCATATCGTGTGAGAAGATTCAGTCTGTGAAAAATGCGCATGGCTTACCTTCCTAGCCTCCATGGTGAAGTGCAATGTGGAAGATGATGCTTTTTTGAGCTACTAGAGCATGGCCGCGCGCAAATGCGGAAGGCCCGGGAGGTAAGTGTTTGCAGGTGGATAAATTCACTGGAAGAAGAGCAGCAGAAAAGCTGCGCAACTTCAGTGAGGGTAGAAAGGTTGAATAGGGAAAAGAAGAGACCAAAGAAAAATCAATGCAACCACACGATGTTGGAGGTCGGAGGGTTGGGCTGGGTAAGGTTTGGAGGCAAGGTCAGGTAACGTGGGGAGGGACGGTTGCGGTTGTCAGGTCGGAGGTCGGCTGTCTGGGGTTGATTTTGCTGCTGCGCAGTCGCAAAGAGCAGGAGCAGCAGGAAGAGAAGGAACGGCTGATCCACACCATCTACCTGGTCCCTTAGCTTAGCGCGGGGCTGAGAACAGAGAGCCGACGTCACGGCTTTCAGTGTCAGTGCTTGAGTGCTCTCTTCCAAATCAGCAAAGTTGGGTGATGTAGCCTTTTTCATAGAAACTAAACTGCGCCTTCGAGAAGTTGAACACTTCTACGATTATTGACTACCCATCAGATGCCATATGGTAATCATTAGATAAAGTTCATCTGGTGAATTCTTTACCAGGAGGCAAGGCAGCTTGGTACTGAATCGCATGTTGATCTGGATCCAGAGCATCAAATGTCACCCACCTGACGCTCTCAGCTCCCCTGTGACCGTCACCGTCGTGGCCAGCACGCTGCAAGCCTGCAACCCAACAGGGGACCTCCAAATTCCCGCGACTGTGGTCCCCACCAAGCCAAAGCTGGCCCCTTGAAACCCCACTACCGGCCGACGGAGCTCTCTCTCCCGATGTCCCGATGATCAGCCAGCCAGCACGTGCAAAGAGCACTCGAATGGGGTACGTATCGATTTTGCTGACCAGGGCGGGCAGACAAGGAGGAAAATGCACTTTACGCCTGGCAGGTCGCCACAGCTGGCAAGTGGGGTCCTCTACCAGCGACCTGGCGCGTCTCGATAAGAATAGAGCACAGACCACAAAAGGCCAAAGGTTTCCCCTTATCGCCCGCCTCTCTAGGGCACACAGAATTTGCTCAATTTTTACAGCGCAAAATCGATCCGGGGCACTGACGATTGGGCAAGTGTGGACTACTCGAACAACCTCACTTCTCAACCTTCCGCCCCTCCGCCGAACGAAACCGTCGACACTCCAACAATTCGTCCAACTATCCCCCCCTTTCGACAAACTCGGGCAAACGAAAGTCAAGATGGCTGTTCCAGGCACTCAGATGTAAGAATTGTCCTTCCTCTGTTTCCAATGGTGGCTTTGCCTTCGCAACATTTCCTCGAGATCCCTCCTCCCCGCCCATCGACCAAATTTCGCCAATCTCGAATTTCCCCCGGTGGATGAAATGCTCTCGGGGATGGAAATGTTGCGAAGGAAAACAAAATGAACATTTGGAGGAACAGTCTTTGCTGACGATTCGTCTTTTCCCCCCAATATAGCTCCAAGCGCAGAAAGTTCGTCGCCGATGGCGTCTTCTACGCTGAGCTCAACGAGTTCTTCCAGCGCGAGCTGGCCGAGGAGGGCTACTCCGGCGTCGAGGTCCGCGTCACCCCCACGGTAACCGACATCATCATCCGCGCCACCCACACCCAGGAGGTTCTCGGCGAGCAGGGCCGCCGCATCCGCGAGCTCACCTCGCTCATCCAGAAGCGCTTCAAGTTCCCCGAGAACTCCGTCTCCCTCTACGCCGCCAAGGTCCAGAACCGCGGTCTCTCCGCCGTCGCCCAGTGCGAGTCCCTCCGCTACAAGCTCCTTAACGGTCTCGCCGTCCGCCGCGCCTGCTACGGTGTCCTCCGCTTCATCATGGAGTCCGGCGCCAAGGGTTGCGAGGTCGTTGTCTCCGGCAAGCTCCGCGCCGCCCGCGCCAAGTCCATGAAGTTCACCGACGGCTTCATGATCCACTCTGGTCAGCCCGCCAAGGACTTCATCGACCACGCCACCCGCCACGTCCTCCTCCGCCAGGGTGTTCTCGGCATCAAGGTCAAGATCATGCGCGGCTCCGACCCCGAGGGCAAGGCCGGCCCCCAGAAGACCCTCCCCGACGCCGTCTCCATCCTTGAGCCCAAGGAGGAGCAGTCCGTCGTCCAGCCCATGTCCCAGGACTACGGCGCTAAGGCCGCCCAGGCCCAGGCCGCCGCTGAGGCGCAACAAGCGGAGCAGCAGCCCGAGGCTGGCGAGGAGGCTGAGGCTCAGTCGTAGGAGACTGGCGAGCTGCAGGTTTCTTTCGAGCAGGCTGACTCTTCCAGCCCCGCCGGTTGGTAAACACACAAAAGGGGACTGGAGAACTGTTCAGCGTGAAGCGGGGATTTTTCGAGTCTGCTTCTCTTTGTCGCACGCTTCTGTCTTCTAGTTCACTCTAGTTTTCTTCCAATACCAGACTAGGGGAATACAAAAAACGGGGTATTTCGCGCGAAAAGACCAGCAAAAATGGGAGGACGGGGGTGGAATAACTACTCAGGCGTCTTGATCAACATTTGCATTACTCTGCGAAAGGGAATTCGGATAGTTGCGACTGGCTTGTAATGGTAGAACAAACCATGAAATGAGCAACGAAATCATTCAAAAGTAAATTGCATGCCCAAGACGTGACGCTAGCTATAATCCACCGGCTATGATCAGAGGTCCTGCCGTCGAAGTCATGAGCCACCTCACTCTTGCGCCCCCGTTGATTAGCACAGCAGTCCAATCCGTTTCTACTCGCCCATCCTGTCACTTTGTCGCTAGATGATGGTAGTTTGTAGTCGATCCATGATGCTCAATTCGCGAGGCTCTAGGCCTCAGCCTACGTCTATGGTTTTTGAAATGCTTTGGAGAGTGAACAGAAGATGCCAGTCTCCAGGCGAACCAGGGTATGCTTCTCACTCTCTCTCTCGCTCTCATACACCTCTCCCCCATTCGCCTTGCCCTTAATCGTACAACAAGAGGTGCTTTCCGCACACCCAGTATCCATTGGAAACCCCGATAAACGCCCCTCAAGTAGTGATCCCTCCCGTTGCCCAGTGAATACTCCTCGTGCCGTGGCAGAAGTGAAATAGTATGGGGAAAAGCTCGATTCTGGGTTTTCCCTTTGGTGCTTTTTCCCCTCTCTCACTCGGGACGCGCGCCTTGTTCCGTGGGTCTTTGCCTCTTTCATGAATCCGATCATGTCGTGGAAAACTTCTCAGTCATTTGACTTTCGCGAAAATGTACAATGCTGCCCCCATTCGGGCCCCTGGTAAGAAATGCTTCGAAGAAAAAAGACAATCACCGCCTCGGTGTTGGCCGATAGCTAGAAAACAGACGGTTCATCCTCCAGGTCCCTCATCTATCGGACCTCTGGTTCTGAAGCTCGATTGTCTCATTGTATGTTTTCGAGTGGCCGTTGGCGGACCCGTTGGCTCTGTGGCGGTCATTATCGTCGTCGCTCTCATCGGCCAGATCGGTCAGACCGAATTCGGCACCAGCCTCCTCATCGTAGGCCCTCATCAACCCTGTTGTATCGCCGTGACGGCTGCCAATGCTCATCCGGTGGGGGTCTCCACTCCGGCGTGCCTGCATACTCAAACGAGTCTGAATTGTAGAGATCATGTCCGTGCCGGTGGCATCGTCGCCGCCGCGGCCTGCAACATACTTGTGTCCGTTCGGGTCAGATCTCGACAGGTTCAACAAGTAGACGCCGGTGAAAGTGACCAGGAAACCGCAGAGAAGGGATATCGTGTTGACCGTGTCGGTTGTATTGAAACCGCCGAAAAGGATGAAGGAGGCGCATAGGGTCATCGTCGTGAAGGTAACGTAGTAGAGGGGGTTGACACTACATGGTCCTCGATTAGCGCTATTTGGCAATCACAGGCTCGGCGTTCTTTGACTTACATGTTGGTGGGGAACTGAGCAAGAGCCTTGTTGAAGTAGTTCATCTGCGTCAGAATGCAAACGGTGGTGAGGATCATGAAAACGTAAGTCGAAGGGTGGCTGAACTGATTGTTTCCGGCGAATGTGAGCTTGAGGGCGATTCCAAAGGCCTTGACAGACATGACCGAGACTGATCCAACAGTTGAGCAAATGGAGAGATAGATGATCGGATTCTTCTTTCCGTGGAGCGGCGCAACTCTGTAAATCATGACCACTGCGAAGACGGTAACAGTGAAGGCATATAACAAAAAGCCTGACAAAGGGATTAGTCCTCAGGCGCATTATTATGCAGAATTATTGACATACCCGGCTGAATGGCGTAGTGCAGGATCTGGTCAACAGTCTGGATATCTTCATCTGGGGGCGCATGCAGCACAATGATGACGGCGCCGATTAGACAGATTGCACTGCCCAAGCGACCCAGAACTCCAAGCTCCTCCTTCAGGAAGTATGAACCCAGAACGGCACCGATCAGGACAGAGAGAGCTCCAAGAGGTGTAACGAGAATGGCTGGCGCGAATGCATAGGCAGCAAAATTGCAGATTTCTCCAACGACCACTACCCATGTGTTAGCCGCTTCGTCGCCTTTCGTCGAGGTCCTAATGCAGACTCACAAGTTGAGATACCAGCCCACCAAACCGGGCTCTTCAAATATACGAATCCGTCACCCTCAAAGCCATGACGTTCTTCTGCTTGCATAAGACCCTATAGCCATAGGTTAGCTCCCATACAGTGTAGGACTAATTGTAAGTAGTGCCAAGGGCAACTCGAGCGATCAGGAACCGCGTGTACCTTTTTCGTAACCACGAAACTAATACCTGTGAAACGAGCATTGTCAGCGATGTAGCCTACGAGAAACTGTGGGAAAGGAATGCATACCAATGGCTAAACTGGATGCCATGGCGAGGCCTAGGCCAATGTATCTGCGCGGGTGGTCTGTCAGCGATTTCGAGTTCCGAGGCCAGGTGGACGTATGGGCAGGGTCTGGAGGGCGACCAAAAGGCCGACCGAGTCGCAAACGTACTTCTCGTCCAACATCATCTTGCCAAAAAATGAGCGCGTCGACTGCGACGGACAGCGAAAAGAGCGTCGGTGGTGATTAGAGGTGTGCGCCGAGGCAAGTGCGGTCGCTGTAGAGAGTGTCGTGTCCCGTGAAGGGGAGCTTGCGAGGCTCGCGCCGGGCGAGGTAGAGAGAGATTTGGAGTGGTAGGTCGAACCTCGTCAGCAGCGACACATGGAAATCTGGAACCCGGGTGACTCTAGGTAGTCGGGGAGTTGTAATTGAGAAGAGATAGAGAGAGGAGATGGGCGTTCGTGATGGATCGTGGCCGTTCGTCGTCGAGTTCGAGTGGAGGGGATTCGAAATTGAGTCGAGGGAGTCGTCGTGGTCTTGGTGTCACTGAGAGGTGTGTCGGGGTCGGGGATGGTTGGTTGGCGCAAATGGAAAGCCGAAAGGGGAGGGAGAGTGTTTCGTGGGATTTTGCAGATAAAACTGTGAGAGTGGTACGTAGCGTGACAGGTACCTCTCGAGGGTTCTCGAGGTGCGGCAATACCGCAAGGCGAGGCGATGCAGAGGCAAACAAGGTATTGGCGGTAACGGGATGGCAAGGTACCTTTGCTGCATCGGTCGATAAGTGAGGTACGTCAGGTATCCGTCCAGTGCTCCGTATCTTGGTGTCAAGAGTATGTGTAGACAGGTACCTTTTCTTAGGTAAGGCAAGCAAGTGGTGGGATCTTGGGAATACTGAGGTGCAGGAAAAAGGTGGTCTTGTCTGACTTCCCGGTGGGTAGGTGCGTGTCGAGGAATGCCAGCCAGCCAGATAGGGACAGGTTTGAGTTTCAGAGGCCCCTGGGAAGGGTTGAAGAGGTGCCCTGCAGCGAAATGTGAAGCAGGACAGGTCACCTAGGTATCTGATCCATACAGACAGAGGTGTTTGGTATTGCTATGCCTCCAATCACTTTTGTCCATTACCTTAGGTGACCCAGGTATCTCCTGTTGGGCAAACCTGGGTTGGCAGATTAGAGCATACGCGTTCTTGACGATAGCGCACTTTCTCTTCTTCTTTTTTCCTTGTGCTATTCAGCTGGGGTCGTCGTGGTGCTCGAATATTAGCTACCTACCTAGGCGAATAGTTACCTAGCGCTACCAATGAGAGGTACCTGTGGAAATACAGCCCCAAAAAGGTGACTTTGTCCCTAAAAATACCAGACGGGCCTGCGCGAAAGAACGGGAACGAACTTGGCCGCGGACGCCAGACTTGTTGAGCGCGGGTGGGGTTTAGCAAGGTACCTTAGCTACGGCTACCTGACTGAACAGGTACTTACCACACTACCTACATGTGGGCTGCTCGTCGACCGGACGGGGGAGAGGGTCGAGGGGCTGAGGCCGACCGGACGGGGGGCTACTGCCGCTACTTCGTAGAGGAAAGGGCCAGGCCAAGCTGTCCATTTTGGACCTTGCAGTGGGCACGCCTTAGAGGCACGGGGGAGCGCCGAATTTTTCTGTCATGACCAAACGCTCAGCCTGGTGGGTTTGGCCCGACTTGGTTTGGTCCAGTCCTCATTAGCAGACCACGGTGTTGTACAAACATGCCTTGGACTGATACAACATGCAATGATTCAGGGCAGTGGCCAATACTTGAATCTTATACACCTTGGGCACACCAGCAGTGCGACCAGAAGCCTTGGACGGATGTCGGACGGAATTCAGTGAGGATGGAACAGGCTTCGCATGCGATTTTGGACGGAAGGCGATTTCCTGACAGGGGCGCCAAGACTTCGTTGCTTCTTCGTCCGTACCATTTTCTTCTTGTGTGTTCAAACTCTCTTGTTCTTCTCCTTCATCTACCCATGTCTATCCAAGCATCCAACATATCTCACCGTCTTCTCACTATGCTAACTATCAAAGCATCTCACGATGCCTTCACCCTGCCTAGCATACTAATTCTTATCCTCCATCACTGAGGTCATCGCAGAGCCATCAAGCAGGGGCTCACAAGTCACAACTGGAAACTACGTAGTACTACCTGTGCCAACGCAACTCGACTCAACTCCGACAGGGGTGTTAAGGGCGCCAAAGGAGGACACCACCTCTATCCGCAGGGGGCCGTGGTTGGCAGCAAACTCCCACGACTCCCCCCAAAGTCTCCCCAAGTCTCCAGACCTTCTCCTCCCGGAGTGTCAGTCTTGAGGGGCGGTTCCTTGGTTAGTCTCGTCCTCGATCCACGCTGAGCCCATGAACCCCTGAACGAAACGGACTGCAGTCAGCAGAGTACAGCCTACAGGAGACTCTCGCTCAACCTTGAATGAAC